TGAGATTTTATTCAATTTCTAACCTTGGTGTGTCTCTCAATATCTTACTTGCCTGGCAGAAAAAGCACTGAGTTCCCTTTTTGTCCAGCCTAAATTTTAGCACTGATTACCCTCACTTCTTATCCAGCCTCACTCTACCTTGCTTTCAAAACCATTTCTTGTCCTCTGCATTCTCAATTCACCCGTTGAAGCTAGCAAAGGGGAGTAACCTAGTGATAAATGCTGTGGCATTTCCTTGGGGCAAAACAAAATACTCACTCTCTGTAGCTGGGGTAGAGTCAGGGATCGATATGTCAGATGCGTTGGAGTAGGTGGACGGGTGCCAAATTACAGACTGTACTAGACTCGGCAGTAGGGTATGATTTGAGGAGGTCACTGATTCAGGGTATGGAATGATGCTTTATTTGAATCACCCTGACTGCATTTCAGGGTTGCTAAGTATCTAGGATAGGAAAAGAATATAAAACCAAACATCTGGAATGTCAACACTAGGGTGTTAAAATGAGTATAAAGAAAGATCTGCCTCTTACTTTACAAATGATGGGACACGAGGTGGCATTTTCCTCCATCAGCTAGAGATGTGAGCAGCAGCAGAGGTCAGCAGATCAGGGACAGCACGTGGGCAGCCCGACAGGCAATGCTGGCAGCATCGTGACATTTGGTAATGGCGATTCACAGCCAGGAAGTCTCAGCACTCCAGGTGGCAATGGCGGTGAGAATGGACCTTTCAATGACCCTGGAAGTCAAGGTTAGGTTAGTGCTTCCTCATCAGTAGCCCCAGGAGAGTCTCAGACACGTCTAAGTCAAATGATTAGAAAAGAAAGCAGATGGGTGGCAGGAGCTGGAACATCAGGACAGCAGAAGTACAAGCAGTGAGGGAAATGAATGTGAATCCACACCCCCCTCTTTTGGGACTCTCAGATAACACAATGAAGGGGAAGAGGCATGCTCTGAGTGCTTGCTCCTTGGGAAGTAGGTTATACTCCAGGAGGACCTAGGGGTAAGCCAGTACTGTAGTCTTAACTCGCGGTTCATATGCCAATAAAACCTGCACATTATCTGTGAAACAACATTGCAGAGTGCCAAATGCTTCAAGAGAAATTTAATATTTATGACTCATTGTGGAGCTCTTAATCACTTGCCAACTGACTTTCCTTCTTATAATAAATACAACTGCACACAGCCACTTCCTTCAAATGTAAAAAGAAAACATGCACATGCCCACTCATACACAGAAATGCCTTATTATAAAGACTGGAGGGCAATAGGGTAGAAAGAGAAAAGCATTAAAAAAATTGAAAATGACAATTACAATTCTCCCCCAAGTGGCCCACCTTTTTGAGTGTGTTATCTGTTTGCAGTGCTACTCTCATCTTCAGTGTTCTGGGAGCAGTGCCCCTTTGGCAAATTAAGTTATTGAAAATGATAATAGTCTTGCATTTATCTTGCAACTTATTTGTAGTGATGCAAAATATTTGTTGAGCTGCCTTCATTTCTTATATGAATGCATTTTTCAAGAGGTCTGTGTGGGGGACACAGTGTCCCAGTTTTTTGTTGAATAAATTAATCTAAAACAACCAAGTTTCTGGATAATCATCATAACCCATAGATAGATGCTGCCAATGAAATATGGAGCTGGGGAGGCGGGTTATTATACACGAATCAGAGTATGAGAGCCGGTTCCGGCTCTTAGTGATGGAGAGTGGAGATGTGCTAAAAGCAGTGAGTGGAGAAAGAAGTTAGAAAGACACAGATCAAAGAGGTCAGTTTCAACAGGAATAAGACTAGATGCAGAGTGAGGTACAGGGTTAGGGGACTGAGTTTGAAGGAGAAGCTGGCAGAGCTGAGCAAGGTCAGTCTATTTACCCTATATGCCTCTGTGGGCTAGGTACTTTATCTCTTTATATTGTAGCTTCCTGAATTTTTAAAATGGACATGATAATAATACTACTTTACAGAAATTTTGTAAGGATTAAATGAGTTAGTATTTATAAAATTATTATTATTTCGTAGTGACTTGTCTTCAAAGAAAATTAAGAGGGCTGAGCTTTGGGTTTCAATAAATAGACAGTAATTCAGTTCCTCTAGACTTGTTCTAGTTGTCTCTGTATCTCACGCCAGCAGCATGCTTGCCGTGCTGTAGGTGCTCAGTAAACATAGGGTGGATCTCCTTGGCTCCGTATCTGGTACACACTTGCCTGACCTAGCCCGTTCTTGCAGGTGCTTTAAGATGCTGGGTGTTAGACAGCAGGCTGCTCTTTGCACCTGGAGTCTGCCTTTGCACTTGTGTTAGGGACACTATACAAGGGGGCTTCAAAAGTTCATAGAAAAATGGAATTGAAGAAAGAGTTTATTTTCACACAAAAACTAACGAAATCCAGGCATTTTTCCTAATATGCATTTTCCATGACCTTTTTGAAGACCCTTTTGCAGAGTGGCATCTTAATGAGTGGGATTCCTCTCGGCTTGCAACTGCTCTCTTGTTAGAGTGGGCTCACTTTATGATCATCAGTTTAAGGACGTCGATACCAAGTCCATTTTTTTCTTTTTCTGGAGAGATTTTTGCAATAGAGTACTTGTGATCACCTGAGAGACAGAGAGAAAAGGAAAGTGAAAAATCACCCCGAGGGGAGATGGCCACACCACAATCTCTTCTCCTCCATTCTCCTCTCAGATTTTTGGCACATGCTCCCAGTATGAGTTTCAAGCCACTGGGTCTGAGACTTGACCCACAGTTGAACATGTGGAAGTCCAGTGCTTTTTTATTTTTATTTTTATTTATTTATTTATTTAATTTTTTGGAGAGGTATTTTGCTATAGGGCATGTGCGCTTGCCAGACAGAGAGAGACAGACAGACAGAAAGCGAAAAATTACCCCCCAGGGGGGATGGTCACGCTGCAATCCCTTCTCCTCCATTCTCCTCTCGGGATCTTGGGCACGCACGCACACGCGCCCGGCTTGCGTTTAAGCCACCGGTTCCGGGACGTGAACCGCGGTCAACTACATGGGAGTCCAGAGACATAGCCATCACGCTAACTGCTGGTTCCCAGAAGTCCAGTGCTTTAATCACTATGCAACTTGTAGATTTCCTCAAGTCCATTTTCTTAATAATTATGTCAATTATAATAATACACTAGTATGCTATTACTAGTGACCCAATATCTATTATTATTTTTTTCACTGTCTTGCATTTATTCACACAGAGACATAAGAACAGGTACAAATAATAGACATTGCTTTAAATACAAATAAATAGTTCTGGTTTCTAAAGGAAATGACTCCATATAATTCTAAGTTAAGTATTTTCTAAGTTCCTAAAAATAGAAGATTATTTTGCATTAAGTGAGGACTTCAGGATAAAATGGTGAATTCCATACTCCAAGAAGTCACCAGAAAAATGGGAGACAGTTCTCTCCCCTCTTCGAACAACCCCCTAAATGGAAGGAGAGTTACTCGCATCATAGACATAGCTAATAAATACTGAAAATATGTGATACTTTAAAAAGATTAACCTTGGGAAGAGTGAAGGAATTTGTTTCTCTGAATCAGTTCTGTGAATTCTGAAATCTTACTGTGCCAAAGTTCTGATTCAGGAGTCTTCAATTCATTTATACTCACAGAAGACTTCAGCTCCTATAACGAAAACTTCCTCTTGCTAGGAACGAGCGTGGTAAACCATAATCACCGAGAATGACACGTGGGTGACAAAGCGATTTACCTGGTAATGGAGCCTTGGTGCTGCCAACCGGGACAGCCTGTCAGAACTGGCACCTAAAGGACCAAAACTGTGCTGAGGAAACACGCCCCCACACTCACTGGTTTGTTTCTCTCTGTTATATGTAGAATGTTTGAAGAAGCCAAAGCATCTAGGGAGAAGTATGCTCTATGAATGAAGAATCACTTTCAAGTCAAGCAGTGTTTTAAAACTGCATAAAACATGAGGTCATTCCAATCTTGGTGCCAGAGGAGTGTCTGTTCCATGGAATTTCTGTGCCCACTGCATGTCCCCTCCTTATCCTGCACAAGATAATCATCCTTTTCTATTCAAACGCCTACACAAATATAGCAATGCTTAGGTTTTCAAAGACATGTTGCTTTTCTGTTTCAATTGATTATGATACAATTCCAAATAGAACATTCTCATGCTATAAAAACAATCTCATGCAATAAGTGTAATTTTAAAAGTCCTATGTTAATAACGGTATTTGGTACTACAGAAGGCAGGATTATTTAGATTTTTAAAAAACCGATCACTATAGAATAAATGTTGGATTTCCAAACAGAACTTCTCTTGTGGTATAAAATGCTAGATTTGATCCTACAGTTTTGTTGATGCCAACAATTTTAAGATATACACTAAGATTTCCTAATTGGGAGTTTTTTTAAACAGTACGCATAATTTTTAAACAGATTACTACCACATTTGCTCAAAGAACCAGCTCCATTTTGTCAAAAATCTTATCTTTTTCAGTTCAGTTGGATTTTCATAGTAAATTCTAGAACAGTTCTGAACATGATTTAAAATCTGTCTCTCACATCCCTCCCTGTGTGTCTCTTATTTTTTCTGTATGTTGTAGAGATGAGCACAGAAAAATGCTCTATTTTTTTGATGGACATTAGTAAATTTAGTTTCCTGATTTAAATAACACTTTGTATGTCTGCCTTTCTCTCTGGAACACTATAAGCCATTTTTTTTTTTTTTTTTAGTTGCAAATCCAAACGTCCTAGCCGATTAAAGCATCATGATGTTTAAATCACAGTTTTGGATACGATCCTATTTATTCTGGATGATGCTCAATTACACATATAGTTTAGGAAAGACATATCTATAAGAACATCCAAAAATGTTATGTTTCCAAACTAACATGTGATTGCGCTCTGTTGGATCGTACCATTCACATTTACAAAGTACAAAGGCAGGAGAGTTCATGTGTGGAGACCAATTTGTTTTGCTGCTATAGTAATTTACAACCATCATATCTGAGATTTCTAAGCTGTTCTAGAATATGGAGTAGTTCTTTTTTTTTATCTGGTGGCTTAAAGTAGGAATAAACAGGTCTGCGGGATACTTAGCATCGGGATTTTCTGCCATCATTTTCAGCTTTGCTTTAATCTTTGCAGTGACACTTAGGTTAGACTGAGTAGGCTCCGTGCTTGAGGATAGCTGGAGACTGATTGGAAGGATCTTATTCTTGTTATGGTCATATCTCTTTACTAGAGCATGTGCCCATTGCACCACCAGCTTCTTGGACAGAGCCAGTTTGCCATTGAGACACTGAATGCCCTGTTTTGCTTCCTACTTAGTTTCAAAGTTAACGAAACAGTACCCGCAAGGCTGTCCTTCCAAAGCACCTGACTTGTGGAAGAGGAAGTCAAACTGTTTGACTTTGTCAAACTTCTGGAGAAGCTTGAGGAGGTGGTATTCTGTGATTTTGGGATCCAGACTGCCAATCCATAATCGGTGCCCCTCCTGTAGATAGCCTTCTGAAAGGATGGATGCGTTCTCCAGGGGAAGAGTTTTGGTTTCTGCTTCCATCAATCTCTATTAAATACTTGTGGCCTCGTTGTGCCCTCAGCTCATGCCCCGAAAACAGGTCTTGACTTGGTGATATGACGACCCTCTAGACACCACCTCAAAGCCGTCCGGCTCCCAGGCCGCCCCACAATATCTATTATTAATTGTAAATCTGTGCTTTAAATATATTAATAGTCTCTCTCCTCACAATGGTATAGTAAACTGTCAAAATGTTAAATATCCTCTGTAGTAATCTTCACTGGGTATAATAAATTAATCATTTACTATCAGTCATTATATACTGAGGGTTCCCCATTGGCCCGCACTGAAGACAAGGTACTCAAAGATAAGATGTTAAGCTTTATGCCTCTAGCTCTTGGCATTAGGCCTAGCATTTACTAAGGCACTGAAAAAAATGCTGTGGAACAGAACCGACTGGCTTTTAAGGAACTGAAGTACTGCTCAGCAAATGCAGTCCTGAAATACATTCAGTTGTTAAATACATATTTGCTGAGCTCCCGCTAGGTGCCAGGAAGTCTTCTAGGATTTGGAGATAAAGTAAGGAATAAAACAAAGCAGCCTTCTGTGGAGATTACATTTCATGAATGATTAAAATATAGGCCAGGTTAGTATAAATAAAGATAAGTACTGTGATTAAAATACAAGGTAATGTGAGAGATATGAGATTGAACATTCATCACTGAAGACACTGTTAGAAGGCCAATTTTAGGCTGAGGTTTGAAATGACCAGAGTGCTTCAGATCCGCAAAGATCTAACATAAAAATATCTTGGCATACCAGAGGAATACAAAGAAGACTGATGTCTAGTAAATGAGGGGGCAGTCAGAGGGGAAAGTAAGGCTTGATAGAATGAGGTGTCACAAGTGGTTTAAGTTTTATTTTATATGTAATGGGATGCTTTTGAGGAGATGGGACGTGTTATGGCCTGCTGAGACCAAGCCAGGTGCTCAGGATGGGGTGCTCTGCGGTGGAGCAGGACTAGTTGGGAGGCTACTGCGGTGGTGCACGTAAGACAAATCATGAGTTGGACTCAAATGCTAGCAGCGAGCAAGAGAGAAGTGGATAAATTAAAGAGAGGTTTTGAAGTTAGGACAAATAATGATGGATTGGATGTTGGAGGTAAGAATAAGGGAGAAATACGAATGTCTCCTGGGTTTTAGGGGCAGTAATCAGATGGTTTGAGATGCCATTTACTGAGATGAAGAAAACGAGGGTAAGAAAAGGTTTGAAAGAGTTAGAAATCAATAATTCTGTTTGGGCCATATTAAGTTCAAGATGCAATACTGTTTTCATAGTTCTCAATTTTGATCACAGTGAGCTACATGACAATTCACTGGAGAAGACTCATTTGTTAAATTTTTAGTGGATAAAGTGATTATTGAGAGTCTGAAAGAAAGAGCTTATTTCTCAAAGAGCACAGGTAGAAGTCTGTAAGGACACCCTCCATTTTAATGAGCCCTGAGCTTCCCACAGGGGAAGGTAAAAAAGCAAATCCTGGAATTCACTCTAGCTCACTGTGGCTTTCTCAGAACCACTTTACTCAGGAAAAGAAAAAAACAAAACAAAACAATGTGCTCGCACCGCATTGCATTGTTTTTCTGGAACAATCAATCAGACTTATGTTTATTTCCCTAATTTACAATATACGGAAACGAGAATTCTCAAGTAAGATGAATGATGTCTCACTGTAGCAACACACAGGGTCCCCTGGCCCTTGATACATCTTTTCAAAAGATAACTCAGAGGTCAGTGAGCGGCTTGGTGTTCAAGGGAGCTGGATCCCACGTGGTCAATTGTCCTGTTTGAATCCTGGAACTAGTGTCTTGAAAAACATACCAAAGGAATTTGCATGTGTGACCAAAATCCCTAGATAGAGGGAGGAACGAGAGAAAGGGTTGATTCTCACTTTTCCTCTTCCTCCCTCTGTTTGTCTCTCTCCAGCAAGCTCATACACTCTCTAACAAATTGTTTAAAATAAATAAATAAATAAACAGATGAAAAAATGTTGATTTTGTTCAGTAATAATTCTTGCAGGCCTTGCAAAATGAGTGCTATTTTTTAATCTTTAATTATTCCTTACAAATCAAAGTTTTTCTAGATGAGTACATTCAGACTAGTAGCGTCAGTCTTTCAGATATCAAAATATGAAATCTAGATGCAAGATTGTTTATAGAGCAAAGGGATGCTATGTCCAGTAGAGGCAGTTTGTAAAATTTTTGAATGGTAAAAAAATTTACATTTATCTTTTTTTTTTGGAGGTTTTTGCTATTAGGGTGTGTGCACTTGCCAGAAAGACAGAGAGAGACAGAGAGACAGAAAGCGAGAAATCACCCCC